GTAAAAACTCAAAGCGAAAGTCATAAGTAAAAATTATATCTTTAATATTTCGCCTTATCTTTTTTTTTCCGAGAAAAAAAAAGTAAACTGAACTGAAGCAGTAAACTTTAAACCTATATAGGCTAACCCTAACGGTATGTATAAAGAGGCCTAGCTAGCAAATAATTTAGCTACCCATGATATTAGTCCAATCTGAAACTGCTGTGTATGCAGTTTGCTATCTGTTGTAACTGTCACCAACAGTTTCACCACTAATAATATTATGGACAGATATATCAGTTCGAGATATTTTTAACAGTTCGTTCAAACAGTTTACAGCTTTGTGCCGCAGAAATTTTACATAGGAAGCGTAATTTAACTTAAAAGTCACTCTGTCAACATCAGTATATGGCTGTCTGTCGAAAAAACAGTGTTTACAATAGAAGGCACCCAACATAAATAATATGGATTACAGAATTTAATTTGTATATATATTTTAAATAAATGTAGCACGAATGGCAGGGAAAATTGTCCCAGGGCCAGATAAAAATAAGGTTCGTCAATGATAAAAAAAAATAACTAACTCGTTTTTTTTTTATCTTAAAGTTCTGTATTTTTTAGCAAAAGCTCCTCTCCTGAAGCCACCTTCAGTCTATCTGGTACTAAGAACAAAATTGGATATTTAAGACGTGATATTTCCTCTTCCACATTTTTATCATCATTATTTAATTCAAAAAATAAAAAAAATCCATTACAATTTCAGCAAGTGCTATCGGGTGTTTTCGTCGACGGTCTGATTGATCGATTGAATGTCAGTCTCAAAAGTAAAAACAAATACTTCTGAATATGATTGCTAAAATTGTAAAAGAAAGCTTGTCAAATAAACAGAAAGATGACATGCATGAGAAAACCCTGCTCTTGCCTCTAATATAAGTATATACTGCTCACGTTATAAGCTTTTACCTATCTCTAAACTGTCTTCAAGATGCCGAAGTAAACAGACATGAACGTGCTTAGAAAAACAACAGATCATCTGTCATTCCAATAACTGAAATAGATTTATAATAATAAGTTTGAACCATACTGTAGTCTTAAGTAATGCTTACCGTCAACGGACCAAATAATATTGTAACAGATTAGAAATAGCGAGCCCAAAGTAGAACTAACATTGTTTTGAAAGATTTTCAATCGGTGAGTGAACTTGTGTAACATTACTGAATATAGTTTTACTTTTATAATTTGTTTCTTTTGCGCTTTAAGACTGCTCGTTTAGAAACGAATTTATTCCTGCTAACTATAGCTAAACAATGCAAGCTTTAAAATGTCGGTATGGTTTGATTTCGAACGTGCTTAATGCTAGAATATATTTTTCTAAACCATTAGGTGGATGTAAAAAAAAAAAAACTACTAGGGCTGTATGTTTGCCGCTGTTCCTACTTCTGAACTGCTGAAAAGAGGGAAAGGCAACCAACGAGTAGCGGGATTGATCGGGATATTATAACGGCTTTGAGGCTGAAAGGAAGAGCGTGTTCGGCGACGGGTTTCGATCCTGCGACCCTCACATTGCAAATGGAACGCACTAAATACCAGGGCATGATAGGGCGATTTACCTGAGAGAAGGGGTAGGAGGCAGAAGGCTGGCCTTACCACACAGGAAAAAAAAAAAAGTCCCAAGGCCCTTTCTAACGCTTGCTACACTACTGTACTTAATAGGCCGGATATTAGAAATGCAAGAGTTATATTTCGGAGATAGAAAGATAGTCAACATCACTCAGATCCTGAAAAGCGGTCTTACGACACTGTCAAGTTGCTTTCTCCGATTCAAAATTCAGTTCTTTGAATTATAAGGTGAAAATTATGTCAATCAAAGCAGTTTATTTATTTTTACTTAATCTAATCTTCAGAATAATATATATTTGAAACGCATTTCGAAAATAACTGGAGCCTCGACCAAAGACACTTTAAATTAAGCAGATATTAGGCTTAAGAAGTCTATGCACTCTACATGATGAACGATACTGTAACTTTAGTTGTTGTTTTTTAAAGCTTTACTCACAACAGATAGAGTGCTTGAACCCAACAAATCCTGTTCATCGAGAACAAATAAAATTGTTGCTTAAAAAAACCCGAGTAACAGACTTAAGTTGTTTTTGCT